AAGACGAGGTCATGATGAATAGCCTAGGCTAATGACCTGTACGTCAATAGCTTATCCTGGAGTAGAGGAAGCGTCCAGGAACGGGGTACCTTTCGGCACCGAGGAAAGGCTCATCTCGGGGACCGAGGGAGGTATGCCGACCGAGGTACATATCAGACCGCGGCCACGTGTTGGTTGTAAAACATACTGAATGCATGATCCTATATTGACGAGTACCTCGGGGGCGAGGACCTTGCGCGCCGATGGTGCTTGATCTTATCAACAGTGTTTTGGTAATACCGAGGACACGTGTCTTCATCATGGAGTATCTCAGAAAAGTCTCATCAACTGCCCCCCAGCCTTCGATCTTCTGACACCGAGGACACGCGTTGTAAGGAGACGAAGGGTTTCCCAACTACCACCAGTATTTCATCATTGTCTCGAGCCGCTTTCCCCGGTTTGGGATGTCGTGCGCATTAAATGCGCCGTTTCGTTTTTTGCGCCCAATGATGAAAATTGGCTCTATATAAAGGGGGCTCCTCTTCCGTTATCCTTGTTTTGCCATTCCAAACTTCCTCAAGAGAGCCTCTCCTTTAAAAACGAGTCAAGGCAATTGTCCCCATAGGACCATTTTAAGCAATCTAGCCTCTTAGTTTTTTTCGTCGTTCAAAAAATGCATACCATACCGATGGATCGAATCAGTAACTTCGTTCTGGATACAAAGTACCGTGGTAGAGAGCTCAGATTCAAGGGATCAATGTTCAAAGATCGGTCCTTGGAGATTGTGTGGGCTTCCACGTCTTCTTGTTGAGAAATTGGGAAACCTGTCGAAGAAAGCTTGGAGAGTAGGAAATAGGTGTGGTCCCAACTGAACTACCTCCAATATCTAAGTTAATGAATGGGTATTTTCTCCCTCTTTTGTCTGGCTCTTTGAGAGTGGTTTTGCTCTAATTTTCTTACTTTTATCTTTTATTAATGAGGGTTATCTTTTATTAATGAGGGCTTTTATAGGTGAGTTTGAGTGTTGTCCTTGCTTAAGGAGCATCATTACCACTAACCATGCACTTTTGAGTGTGTGTTAAGTCGGTCTATTCCTGATTTCCAGTACATAGCGTGTGTTAATTAGTGTTTCAGAATTCAGCAGGTAGTGTCATGTGACACTCCTTCAACGAGACAGGTGTGCATGTGAACTCTAAAGTGTCATTTTGGCTAAACTGACAAAGTCTATTCAATGGAATAGCAAGGCCTAACCAACGAGGTCACGAGTTCTGGATTATATTCATCACATACAATCTCATCTTCCTACAAGGATCAAAATTTTCATTGGCTTTAAGGAACTCCTATCATATCTAACTACAATACGCCTTCTTATATACTAATTTCCAAAGTGGTATTAGGCAAATCTGACAATAACTTGCATCGCCCATGATTTTGCAAGTCAATCAAATAATACAACAAAAAATTAAAAAAAAAATACACATTTGACTAAAACAAGTTTTACTAGGTGAATATGCTAATCTGATACACACACCTGAACAGTTTTTGGTGATATGTGCAAGTATTGTCTATTATTTGGGTGTGGAATAAGACAAAAGACGTTACAAGAAAAAGAGCAAAATAAAAGGTTTGTGTAATAGAAAATACAAAATGGATAGAATCACCCAGATGCAAATCTAAACCAACATAAATGCAAGTCTAAACCAACATAAATTATGAAACACGATAAAATCAACATTTTGTATAACTTTCAAGCCTCATGAAAGAAGCGGACCCCATATTATTTATTTTATAATTATTTTTATTGAATTGTTACACCATATGATATTATTGACGTGGTGTAATTTTTATATTTAATATATTTACTCGTGGAGTAGAGAGTAAATTAAGAACTTTAGAGCTAGTGGGCCAACCTAAGAAAACACATAAAAAGCTCCATATCTTAAAAGGGCCCCGAAGAATAATATCCTAAATATTAAAGAAAAAGGAAAAGGTCAAGTAGAAATTTTCAAAACCTAAAGTAGATGGGGCTATGGCTCTTTGGTCTTTCCGTAGCTTTGCCCTTCCAAAAGAGGTATAATAAAAAATTCACACATTTGAGGTATTTTTATTGGTTAAAAAATAAAATTATATTACTAAGAAAAATTGGTACCAGAATGGGACCCTCCAAAATGAGGCAATACGTTGTAGAGATGACATACTGCATAGAGGGTGTGGGCATCTTGTGGGAATTTACGTAGAATTTGCACTTTTTTAGTAAAACTAAAATGAAGTAAAAAGTGGTAAGATTTATACAGTTATTATCTTAGGCGTAAGAAGTGTTAAAATATTGAAAATAATTTAGGATTAATAATAAAATACAGCCTTAAACTTTAGGTCTTGTTTCAATCAAATCCCTCTGATTTAAAATTGAACAATTTGTCCCCTTAATGATCCAAAATTAGCAAATTGACTAATAAATTAGACAATCTTTAAAATTACTTTTGTACCCTCAACCTTTATTCATCTCTATATTTTTTCCTTTCTCCTTGCCCAATTTTGCCGAGAGCTCCAACACCACTAACCACAAACCACTACAACAGCCACCCAACCAACAACCACCCAGACAATCATCGTAACCACCAACACAACCATAATCAACCAACCACCGCAGCCACAATCAAACAGCTCACAAACCTCTGCAATCACCACCGCAACCAACGCTCAACCATCTAGTCACAAACCACTACATCCACAAGCCATCGAAGAAATTATCGGGGGATATTTGGGTTTCGGTTTCAGTGAAAGGGGAGGAATTAGGGAGTTAAGGGAAGGGTAAAGGTGGGTTTCGGTTTTAGTGGAGGGGGAGGGATTAGGGAGTTGAGGGAAGGGGAATCTATTACCAATATACCCCATTTATCAAATTTATTTATCGATCTACTGTCGTTTTTAACTTATTTATCAAATTATCGCTGTTTTAAAATCGAATTTGACAAATTCGATTTCATGGAAAAAGCAAATTTGATAAATTCGACTTCATTTGGAAAGTGAATTTGGTAAATCGGACTTCATTTGGAAAGTGGATTTGACAAATCCGACTTCAATTGAAAAGCGAATTTGATAAATCCGACTTCATAGGAAAAGCATACATACCAAATCCGTCTTTATATGAAAAGCGGACATACCAAATCCCCCTTTATATGGAAAGCAGACTTACCAAGGTGCAAGCCTTTATATGTATAATTGTGTTGATCGCCAAAAGAGTATTTTGCTATTTATTGAATACGTTTGATCTCTCTGATTCTATATTCTTTGTGAATAAATTACTCACCTTTATTAGTCGTTAAAAATCCACTAATAGATTCTATCTAAATTTATTAGTTATAACCCGTGCCTGAAGGCACGATAAAATATAAAATTCGAGTATCCAAAAAATCGATCCCACTATATTAAATTTTTTCAAAATATATTAATTACAAATTAATCAAATATTAAATAATTAAATATATGATAAAAATGAGTGATTTATTTTTTAGAGAGAAAATATATAAAGTCAAGAATTTCGTCGGGTAGTTTCCCAGTAAAAAAATTAGATGAAATATTAAAAATTACTAGTTTAGACAAAAAACGGATTTGGTTTGTATGTTTTCTAAATGAAATCAGATTTGGTATGTTCACTTTCCCTATAAAGTCGAATTTGTCAAATCCACTTTCTCTATAAAGTCGGATTTGTCAAATCCACTTTCCAAATGAAGTCGGATTTGTCAAATCCGCTTTTCCCATGAAGTTAGATTTGCCAAATCTACTTTTAAAACAACGGTAATTTGATAAATAAGTTGAAAACGGCAGTATATTGATAAATGGGGTAGATTGGTAATAGATTCGAGGGAAGAGTGGGGGTTTCGGTTTCCGTGTTGGGGGGGGGGGGGAATTTGGGTTTTTCACCAGAGAAATTGTCGATTTTATATTATTTTTTAATTTTTTTTGCACAAAATATTAAGACAAGGGTAGTCGTAGACTTTTGATTAATTTAAGTCATTTGTCAATTAACGGTAAAAGTTAATTAAAAATTATTTAAATATTAAGGGTGTAAATTGTTCAATTTTTAAACTAAGGACCTAATTGAAAAAAGACCCAAAATTTAAGGGAGCATTTTATAATTAACCCAATAATTTATCTCCACACAGATTAAGACGGTTTACATATCCTACGGTTGTACACTATCACTTGGTCATGTTTACAGAAAACTTTATAGATTATAATCAAGATATTCAGCAAACAATGTGTGCAAACAACATTAATTTTTATGAACACGAAAAGAGTACACATGAAGCAAGAGCTAACCAGCATACATCCATATACATAAACTTTAGGCTTCCAACAAAATAGAAGACATGCTTACAAGTAAACAAGTCATATAGTGCAAATATAAAAATTAAACTGAGAATGCGACTGTGTACACAAACAGGAAATTCAAATTATTTTTGGCCTGCTGTTTGTTCGTCTTAATGTTGATTGTTTGTCTTTCTTTTGAATTCACCTTATCATAGGCCACACAATGACAAAAGTACAAGACTCTCGACATGTTGAAGTTACAAAAAATGCAAGTCCTATGATCCAATTATTGCCCAAAATGTCAGATTCAATCTATAATTTCGACACAATAAGAAAGAGTAAAGAACTACAAAGCAAGAGAAAGAACTGTAACAGAGAGTGAACAAATGTAACAATTTTGATTGGATAGAGCAACCAAAATAATAGATTTAACAGAGACTGAATAAATATAGAAATTTAAGAAAAAAGATAAATATTCGACACAATAAGAAAGTGATTTAAAGGGAGAGTACCTGATATGGAGATTAAGGTTCCAATTTCGAAGCCACCCCGGAGATCTCGTGTACAAATTCTTCACACATGAGAACGATACAAAAAAAAAAAGGAATCAAGCTTGCACCAAGGCTTTCTACAACGGACAGGATAAAATGGCAAGAGCCAGAGATAGATAGAGATAGTTGTATATGACTCTCTGGATGCACTGAATCGCGATGGATGGGAAGTTCCGCACGAACTCGGTTTATGTGCCCAGACTAAAGAAAGACGCAGACGAGAAAGGGAGAGGGATGGAGGGAGAGAGAAACAAAGCTATAAAAAAGATTGACAGATTCATGACCAATTCATCTAAATCCCTCGCTGAGTCAGGTTCCGAGTTCGACGAAAGGAGTTTCTGGGGGCAGATTCGCGATGACAGCGAACTCGGTGTTGTCTGTTCTTTGTCATTGTTCATTGGCAAAGAGATACACAGACGAAGACGAGATTGAGGGAGAGAGCCCATACCTGCGACCAGTTGACGTTGGAGGGAACAATTTACCAGCCCATACCACTGATACAACCTGGATGTTACCGTGTCTCCATCTTCACAGGCAAAGAGACGTGGAGTAGGGAGAAGCAGATATTGAAGGAGAGATGTGGAGTCTGAAGAGGGAGAGAAAGAGATGATCGGAGGTCTAAATGGGTTTTGAATTTTGAAATTTGATAGAACTTAGAAAGACATCCTCCGGGTTAAATATTAAATGCAACGTTTATAGCGTGTGAGCTTAACGGTCATAACTCGTGATTTTTTTTATATATATATATTTTCTTTTGGCCGTATTATAACTCGTGATCGAAGATATGATAAAATATAAAATTTTAGTGTTTAAAAAATTAATTTTATTATATCAAATTTAAAATTAATTTCTTTATTTACATCATTTAAAATTAATTTTTACTTATTATTTTCTTAAAAATATAGTCAAAATTTTTTCAAAAAACATAATTCAATAAAAAAATTTCAACATGTATATATTATTGTGTACGAATAATATATAAAATAAAAGTTATGTTAAATTACAAATTAACTAAATATTAAATAATTAAACATGTGATGTGATAGAATTTGGTTATGTAAAATTTTTTGGGAGAAAAAATGTATAGGTGATAAAAATTTAATTTACTAGCTAATTTATTATATAAATTACTAACTAATAATAAAATAATTAAATAAGTAAGGTGAATCTCACTTAGATAATTATTTATTTACATGAAATATTAGTTATTAATTTTAGTGGGATCTATTTCTTTATTTATTTTAATATTATTGATTGATGATACCACGTCAATATTGTTACGTGATATCACTGTTTGTAATGAATATTTTCTCTTAAGCCTGTTAATTTAGACTATTTATAAATCTTATCAGTTGATGTTGTAATGATGACAATGACGATGGTGGTGGTCACGACAACAGTGTTGGCGATGGGCACAATAGTGGTATAGCGGTGTGGTGGTAATGGTGGGATGATGGTGATGTGATTTTAAACAAGTATAAGTTATTTTATTTATTTATTTAAATAGTAAAATTGTTTTTGACTTAATAGAAAATAATTAAAATAAGTAATTCTAAACATTATTTTTATTTTTTTTAAAGTGCTTATGATAAATCATAAATCATAAATTTTTATTTTACATCACCCAACGTTTATGCCCATCACAATTTTATGATCCAAATCTCGGATTCATGGGCCCAAACTTAATTCAATCTCACTCCATTATTCACCTTTATCTACTGAAATAAACACACAAGGGTGTCATTTTCTCTTTCCTCTCCTTCGAGGGCGAATCTTTGGTAGGCATTTTAAGAAGCTTTAGTTTTTTTTTTTTTTTTTGGTCAAGTAGGATGATACATTTATATTTTTAAAAATTATTTTTGACACAAACTAAAACCATTTAACATAAAAGGGCCAAAAATTGGAATACATAGTGCATAAAAGCCACACACAAAAAAAAGCGAATTTTGATATTTAAAAAAAAAAAAAAGGAAATTAATCTGCAACATCACACAGGAATAGTAAGAACAATCTCACACAACTTCCCCGAACACAAAATATTACAAACATCCCCTATATCAGACATGGTTCCTAATGCAAACTGTTCCATAACTAGTCCAAGTTCAGTTTTGCTAAAAAAAATTAAAAAAAATTAGTAATGCTTCACAAATGTGCATCAAACAGATGAAGCTGTCCTCGAAACTTGATGAGACATAGCATCTTCAAACTGCTCATCATCATCGGCCTTCTCAGCACTCAAGCTTGGTGGAATGAAAGATCTGAAGACAAGTTCCATGTTGGGAATTTCCTTCAATTCCTGACAAGCGACCTCAAGGGCTGTTGATTGGAAAAATCGATAGAATTTATTTCTACAAATGAAGGCAAAGATCAAGGAAAGTATCGGAAGTGGAATTAGAACTGGAGCGTAGTAAAACTCCTTCACACCAAAGTAACCGAACATGGTGACTTGGAACAGAAGCAATGAAGCTAAGATACGCGTATGCATGTGGGGCCACATCCTTCCGTAGCTCTCATATGCTGGAACATACACTTTGAGTACCTGTTTAAAGGAAGGAGCAAATATTAGAAGAGAAAAGAAAAATGCAAAACTAAGGTAGGGGGAAGTCAAATCAAAAGGCCAATATTTGTTTTTCCTAAGCTTAAGTTCTTAGATGCATTTAATGAGTTTAACAAGCATTCGTTTTTCGTAAACTTAAGTTGTTAGATGCATGTACTAAGTTTTGATCCGAAACTTCAGAGTTATCGTGTCATCTCATGTTAAAACAAATGTCAGGCATTGCTAACATGCTATCTTCTTTCAACACCAACTTTAAGGGCATTCTTTAAAACGAAGAATGAGCTACTTTACATGATAGTTTATAGAAATTGGGATTGTTACTTTGGAAGCACAAGAAAATAAGTTACTAGGCATCACCTGATTCCGGAGAACGAGCCAGCCCAGGCCAAAGTATGCAACACCAAATGGAATAATTATCGGAGCTATTACAGAATAGCAGAAGACGATTGTGACTATCAGCATGTCGCCAGGAACCCTAGTTCCATATCCAAGATCTCCAGGAGCCCAAGCTTCTTTCACCTCAGCCTCAGTTTTGCAAAGACACTTCCTCTTGAGATGAAATATAATTAAAGGAACTAACCGGGACAGCTCAAGACCATAGCCAACAAAGAACCTAAGACCCATAAAATCATGAAAATCAATTAACTTGTCCTACGTTTATGAGAAAGGCCAACACATTTAGGTCAGTTTGTGTCTAGAAGGGGCAAAATGCAAACACAACCCTGAAATACTAAATCGACGAAGAAATAAGAGCAAAATAAAAAGGCAAAAAAACCAAAATTACAGAACACGTAAACAAAAAGAAAGGAATCTATTGCCTTGGAAGGCACATGAACCAAGCGCCTCTGAGGCTGAAGCATGTAAATATGTACCATGTCTTGCTTCAAACAAAATGACTACATCAAGCTACTATATATGATTTCATGAATTCCACAATGAATAGTTTCTCTTTTTTTTCATTGTCCCATTTTAGGGTCGATAACTTCACTATCCTTATTTATATTTTTTTTATTAGCAAACAAAGAAACTTTATTATGGCATAAAGAATAGTTGGGGGGGTTGGGGGTGAGAAGTCCACAAATAAGAAGGAAACAAAATATGTAAATAAGGGGGTAAAATCAAATTACGAGTCACATATAGCTTTCCAAATCACCCTAATCAATAAAAAACAGAGTACCCCAAACTCGGGAATCCCTGCCACCAAGTGGTGAATTCAACTGTTATAGATGGGACTTTTCTTTTCTAACTCAAAAAAGGAATCCATAGATCCAGTAAATACTTTCCAAAGCTTTGCCATAAACTAGTATGTGACACAATGAACTTGACCTTCCCCTGATGTAACTTGAGTGGATGTAAAAAAGATCCTAACATACAAGAAGACCATGAGTAAACTTTGTAACCAGCAAAATAAATAAAAAAACACCAAACAACTCTTGTGCTATTTACAAGTACCTCAAGGTGGAATGAAATTCCTGCACAATTTCAGTCAGTACGGGGATGCAAAAGGAAAGGATGCCATGTTAATGAAAAATAAAGAGAACTGCAATCTTACTTCAGAGCCACATAGGTCAAGAAGAAAGTTGCATTGGCTGGGAGGCTGCTCGCCAGTAAGGGGACAATAGAGTTTGGATTCTTCTCAATGGTCTTGAATGTACTGAAAAGGGTTCCACCCACTGTAACACCGATAAATACATTTAACACAGTGAAATAGAAGTATTTCCCTGATGCAGCCCTTATTGCATGGCTCTCTGAAGGAATTCCCTCAGCCTTTGATAGAAACAAAAGAAACTTCGGCAACAAAGTCAGAAATATAATAAGAGCAAGTTGAGGGAGGTAAGCTTCCAACAATGTCCTTATCACATTCTGGTTAATGACTGCCTTTAGAAATGGGAGGAGCTTCTTCAGATTTTCCAGAGTTGTAAACGCAGAAATAAAACCAATTGGGATCATGAAGAAAACTATTGTCAAAAAGACAATGACATACACAACATACTGTCGTATTTGCCTATCATAAAAATTTTTGGGAAGATTAGGCCATATTATCTGGCGGGGTTCAGGAGAATCCATGACTGTCCATGTGTCCACCATTCGGGCATGTAGACTCTGCACAGCAGAAGCTGCAGTTACCCTGTTGGTAAAGAAGACCAGCGCCGAAGCTGTCTGCTTCTCTCTGAGAGTGACTTTTTGTTCAGCTTCCAACTTTGGGTTCAGCTCATTAATCTTTTCATTGTAGTATTCTATCGAATCTACCTTACTACCAATGAGACCAAGAAAGCCAGTTCTGTTTGTGGGTCTCATTCCTTCGGGTATGCCTGTTGTCTTTGACCCTGCATATATGGCTTCAGCTCGTGCAAGCTTCTTTTTGTACCCATCCAACTCTTCGTATAATTTATTGACCTGATAGAATCAAACACTATGTATAATGAAGCCAAATATAAACTTCAAATCAATAGGAAACAAGTATAGCACAGATTAGCAGGTGAAAGCAATCACCTCTTGTGCTTGATTCCTCGCATGTTATATTTTATGCTACAAATTGTTTGGTCAGACTAAAAATAGTTTCACATTAAAAAACTTTTGATTGGACACAAATAATAAAATGAGAACTGTATGTAACAACTGGAAGAAAAGTTGGATACATGATCATGCGCAAATACTATATATCCATAAAAGAAAGGTCTATCAATGGTGATGAGTTACCTCCTTGTTGTTCGTGACCACCATTGATCTGTAAAATGTCTCTGGATAGATTGTTTTGAAAAATGAGTCAACCTGTTCCTTTCTAGTTTGACCTTCAGAGGGAGGAATGTCCCTGACAAGAACAGCAAACTGTTCACCTCTCACTTCAGGAGACATTAGAGCCGTGGCTCTCAGATCGGAGACATGTTTGTATGCCTTCCACAATAAACAATATGCAACAACAGAAACCCAATAGGTGGCAATCACGAATGCCCACAGACGTGGACTCTTTTCCTGCAACCCAAGTTAAGAACAATGAAATAAGCGTTTAAATTGGGAGAAAAAGTTAGAACACCACGAGGACTGCAACTTTGGTCCTGGACATCTAAGGGACGTTTTGGCATGTATTGAAATTTCGAAATCTGCTCAATCAAGGATTTTATTATCACTTGAAAGTAGAAAACAGTCAATATCAAATGCTGAAATGCTGATGCAACTTACTTCAACATGTCCCATAGATAGACTGTCAAGGTCATTGAAAGTCCCATTGCTGATGGTGGTATTGTCTGCCTTCACCCCCTTATCTGTGGCAGCTACTGGCAGAAGTACTGGTAACAGCACAAGGCCGGCCAGGACGAATATTCCCAACACTGAATGGAAAAATGGAAAGGGAAAAAATGAAAATTTGGCACAATTATAGGCATTCATGATCTAAGAGTATCTCCAACCTTGACTCAAATTTAAGTCGATATTTGAGTAAAAAACTTGAATTGATACAAAAAAAGGCTCCAGTGGACAAACTCAAATTCAATGGACTGCAAACTCAAATTAAAGGAGAGTGAAATGTGGCCATTGGTGATTTGAGTAAAAGTTTGAGTCTCCCTTGATTAGACCAGCTGGTATGCATCATAACATCCAATAAAAGAAAACGTTATTTGGCCTTTGGGCTATTCATAATCTGCTCATGCACCCAAAAAATAATAAGTGAAAATATGCATGTACTATATACTCCATCCAAACATGACAGCAGTCCCAAAGCTCTGCAAAGACAACAAATATAACTAACAAAAGGAATATCACTTCATTCATGTTATTTGGTTTCCTTAAACAGAAAAAAGGTACAAGTCCCTTTTTTAGTTCATAAAATTAGGGTCATGCACATAAGGTACCCGTGTGCAAATACAAACAGAAAGAAACTAGAATAGATATATTTAGGGGGTTAAATGTGAGCTAGTGAAGTTACATGTGGTAAAATGACTAATAGACACTACTAAAGGGAGAGGACACCACAACCCATCTCTCCCTTTAATAGTAGTATATATTATGAACAGCATTGATCATATGATGAAATGTAGTGCCTTGGAGCTATCAATGATAAATTCCCTTATGCTGAAACCAAAATTCACTTCTATGTGGAAATTGAACCACGCATGAGACTGTGTCCTATACATTAGCTACAGAGGCATAAACTACAAAATAAATTGAGTAAAGTAAATGGCAACAATGTATTAACTTTTTTTCAAGTAGCAGAAATTCATGCCTCACTTAAAATGTGACTCAAGAGGCTTTTAATTCTGGGAAAATCTTTCTCAAGATTCTGTGGTACCTTTTCTAGATTATATACTAAGAATTTTAACAAAGTTCCCAGGTAAATATGAAAATTCAAAATATTCTCATTAAATAAGGCCTAACATGGTACTCAGTATAAAGAAGAGAAGAATAATTAACACAAATTGAAACAATACTTTCCTCTGCAACCTAATTTAGAGATTCTATCCCTGTTTTGATTTATTCTCTCCATAAGTTTCCATTATCTGTGACAAATATAGTGACCCTGTAATAGTCCCAGAATTACTACAACTGAAATATTATGCATTTGCGCTATGCTGCCTTCCATGATGTAGCAGCATTTAAAGCAAGATGCCTATCCAGATAAACTTATTGGTAATCACAAAAGCACAAAAGCACAAAAGCAAGTGTTTTAAATCCAACTGGAAACTGAACTATTCTGCAGTTTTAATAAAATATCATGTCTGACTTGAGAACATTTTAAGTTGTAAAGCCAAAATGAAGGGATATCTCTCCACTTTGAAAGGCTGAACTGTGTCAATTTTCAAGTTGTATCAGCGGTTTGATGAGGAGATGAAGATGGCTTGCAACTTCAGGAATGTTAACATGTTGGAATGACTATCAATTTGTGGTAGCCATTCCAGAACGTTTTCTTCATGCTTGGCAAAGGGACATCCAAATACCGAAATACCCAAATATGGCAATTCACTCAAGTCATTAAAGCTTGGCAAATGAAAATTACAGTGTATATATGTAATCCAACAGACCATAGAATATCAAGCTTGGTGTGGCCAAATGGGGTAAGCATATCTGTATTTGAATAACATAGAGCTGTGATCTATAACAAAACTTCAAATTCGCAAAGAAAGAAACAAAGATCTATCTCAAAACAAGAAATTAACCATGACTAATGATTTTCTTCTTTCCTCCTCCCTCGAAAATTGTTGCTCAAAAGAAATTAATGCTGAAGCAAATAACTTGCAACAAAATTTTGTTCAACATACCCCACTTGGGTGCCCACCTTTTGTGGACTGTCACTAGTTTTTTTTTTTTCTTTTCTTTGATAAGAAACACAACTTTCATTTCATTGAAAGATGAAAAAGTACAAAAATGGTGAATAATAAATCCACTTAAAATGACAAAAAATACAAAATCTGAAGTAATCCAAAATAGACTTTCAAGTACAACCAGCTTTCGAAGTACATTGGAACACTCATAGAGGAGTGTCACAAAACTCATGTGAAGCCGCCCAAAAAGATACCAAAAAAATCACTCTATCTCATAACAACACCTCCTCCTTCCCTTAAAAAATCGTAGTTCAAGCATTAATGCAAAATACAATATGCAATACATGCAATTTAGAGTATGCCAAAACCTTTTTGGGTGATCATTTAGCTCCCTATCAAACCACTCCAAGAGTTTTGGCTAGAGCAATCAACTAAGGAATTAATCCACAATCCTACATAATTGTAGAGTTTCAACTTGCAATCTTCAGCTCTAGACAAATTTCAAATCAAAACCAACAACTTTATGCATCAAATCAAACCCATAGAAAAGAAAACATTAAAATTTCCCTCAATCAAAATAAAATCAAGGGCATAAAATTTGACATTTGGTACCAAAAAAAAAGGCAAAAAGATCTTGGTGAATGAAAGAACAAATAATAATGAATTTAAGAAAATTAATCACTCAAAAAGGAATCCAATGTTTCAAAATATACCACTAAAACCATCTATATTCCCCAACGAATCCAAAAGCCAAAAAGGAAAAAGTAGCAGACCTTGTAAAGTTGATAAAAATGGCATCCATTCAAAGCAAAAAAACTAACTTCTTGGGTGATCATGTAGCTCCCTACCAATAAAGAAATCGACTATCGGTTACAGTAGTACCATTGGATTATATCACTGTCACATCAAATCAGGTTAGTTTCTTTAAGTACAATTAGCATTACCCTTTCGCCAGAGCAATCAACTAAGGCCTTAATCGACAATTTTATACAATTGTAGAATTTCAACTAGCAATCTTAAGCTATAGACAAATTTCAAATCAAAACCAGCAACTTTATGCATCAAAACAAACCCACAGAAAAGAAAACACTAAAATTTCTCTCAATCAAAACATCTAGGACAGAAAATATGACTTTTGATATCCAAAAAAAAAAAGCGAAAAACCATTAGGGTGAAAGTGAATAAAAGAGCGAATTCTCTAATAATGAACTTAAAATAATTAATCACTCAAAAAGAATGAGGAATCCACTGTTTCAAAATATACTACTAAACCCATCTATTTTCCCCTACGAATCCAAAAGCCAAAAAGGAAAAGAAAAAAGTAGCAGATCTTGTAAAGTTGGTCAAAATGGCGTCCATTAAATGCAAACGAACACGAACGAAAATACCCAACAAATTCAACCAAACCCAACAAAATATAGCCAAAAACAACTATGTATAATCAAAATAGGAAAAACGTTAACATTTGCAAATTAGTCACACAAAAAATACCCAAAAACTACTACGTATGAACAAACAATAAAAATATTAATCTTATCAAATTAATCACCCACACAGTGGCATATTCCTGAATATATTTACAAAGAGAAATGAAAAAGAGAGCAAGGACAAACCAGTGCTCAAGAAGACAAAGTACACAGCAGAATCAACACCCGACATGGAAATAACATCTTCTTCGGTTGAAGACATAGCCTCTCGGATCCAAGAAAAAGGGTTTCTGCTCCTGGACAAACCCTCATACGGATCCAAACCTTTCAAGATCCGATTTGGATAGTACACCCCGTTGTTCCCTGGCTTTCTCGAAAGCCATGTAAACAAACACATCAAAATGAAGAAAATCACAAAGGATGTCCCAAGAGACGTCAAGAAAGAACTGAAATCCATCTGGGTTTCTCTCTCTCTCTCTCTCCAGCAAACACTATCCTTGTCTTTATATGATTTTGACTATTGGGTGTTCAGAGAACATGGAAACTAGCCGTTAATGGGCATTCACAGCGAGGAAGTAACCGTTGAGATGGCTAATAAAGAAAGGGGTACTCAAAAGATCGGGGGTTGATATGATGGAAAATTGCAAACATGTCTTGCTTTGCAAGGGAAAATTTTATATCTACTCCGTCAATCTCTGCCACCACTACCTCACTGATGCAATGCGGGGTTACACTGATATTGATGTTACGTACAATATTATTCATCTCTCTCCTTCTCTCAACTTTTAATGCATAAAGAGAAAAGCGGTAGTTTGGGAGAAGGAAATACGCGTGAAGTGAAAGCAGAGCGGATATGATGGGAGAGAAATATCAGACACATTGGGAGGGAAGAGAGCGATGGAGAGTGAGAAAACTGGAATGACCAAAATGCCCCTGTGTGTACACTGTCAAGTTGTAACCGCTAAAGGTCGTTAATTTGGCAATATTGTCCATACACATTTAAGGTTGGGGTCAGTTCGGTATGGACCCATTAAATACACCGTGGTTCAGTTGGGCCCATCCCATTAGATATACCCTGATTGAGTTAGAGTAATTAAAGTAAGTGGAAGCCAGTTTCCGAAGGCATAGTATAGCGTGAATAATTTTAAAAAATATATTGTTAGTCGTTAGATGAGTTTATTTAAAATTGTCGAATGAATTTATTAAAATATATCATATATTTATATTATAGAATATTAATTTTTTATATTATTTTTTTATTTTTTATCTAATAGAAATACATCACATATAAAAATTATTATTTTCTTTTCTCAACAAAGAAATTACAAATCATTCAAATTGGAATTAACAATTCAAATTAAATTTTAACATAATACCTCTGTAAAAACGTAGTCGTATGTCTACCATGTAAGGGTTTGGATTCAGATTCTCCTTGAAGTTAATTAGACAAAATTTCTAGAATTTTAACTTGAGAAGATCTAAATTTTTTAATTTTCTATACAAAAAAGTGCAACATGTACACAATTTCACTGTTCATATTTACTTACCCCAAAAAAAAAAATTATTCTTATTCTTGTCGGAAAAAGAATAAGAATGTCTAATTGATCAGCTAATTTATCCTTCCTTCATATTAAAACCTCTTTAGACAGGCATCAAACATTTTGGAATTATCAATGTCGCACTAACTATTGTGTATTGTTACAAAGTGTTGGGGCTATATTTTTATGAGTCCATGAATGACAATATCTGACGAACCCAAATTTAATTGGGTCAGATCTAATAAATCAAACAAATTCAAGTCAACTAAAAGATAAGTCGAGCCCAGTTCGCAAATTCGACCCAGTCCATAATTCAAGGAGCCCAAAAAGATAAGAGCACGTGGGAGAAAGATTATCGGGATACCTACTCTCGAATATCAAGACTGTCTTAATTGTACTTACCTTTTATAACTATTCTCCCCGAAGAATTAGTACTCTCACACTCATGTCACCGCCTCACTACTAGGGCTGTCAAAATTCGAATCGACACGAATTAAACGGATTTGGGTGAGATCTTAACGGGTTTGGGTGATAAACTAGTTGACACGGCAAACACGTTTAATGAACAGGTCGTGTTTGGGTGAGACATGTCAAACCGTTTATCACACATTTATCTATTTAAATATTATTAATATAATAATAAATTAATAATTATTTTAAAAAATTAGCAAGAAATAAGGAAATCAATAAGAAAAAAAAAATAAAGTAGTAGTTCAAAGACAAAAGAGATGAGATGTAGAGCACTTCAAAAACAAAGGCAAACCAATGCCTTTTATTTTTGTCCCACATTGAAAAATGAGGGAAAATAGGGAGGGTTGAGTTGCCTATAAAAAGTAATGACCTCTTGTTTTTCTTTTTAATCCTTCAAGTCTTATTTTTATGAGATATGAGATTGGACTAAAAATTTCTCTTTTTTGAGGTAAGTGCAATTGGCAATAAAAAAAGTGAAATATTAAAATTTTTTAAAATAATTTTTTTAAAATTAAACGGGTTAAACGAGTCGTGTCGTGTTATCCGTTTATTAAACGGGTCGTGTTCGTGTTGAGATTTTTCACTCGTTTACTAAACGTGTCGTGTACGGATTTATACATTTTACACCCGTAACCTGTTTAACTCAACACATAACCTTTTAATCCGACACGTTTGATACCCCTACTGACCACGCCTATAAATTGTAAGCTCTTTTCATTGAGAGGGAAATCTCACTACACATTGAGTTTTGTCTTTACATCTCTCTACACACACTTTTCTATCTCCTAACTATTGTATCTCTCTCAGAGCTAACTATTACTCTCTCTCTTGTTCATCTTGCCTGATCAATAAAAACCCCCCATCACCGTTGCCGTTTTTCAGAGTGAAGTATATCACTCAGACTGAACCACACTATATATGTGTATTGATTCAATATGTACATTATTGTCATTAATTGTTTTACTTATTATTGTCATTAATTGTTTTACTTATTATCTATTAATTACACACTCGACTGCTGATCTTAAACGAGATTGTTTTATGCATCATTAGTATCTTGACTCCTAGTGTGATTAATCCCTAACCTTTTTTTTTTGGACTAAACATCTTGTAATCTTTAAAATATAGGTTTCGTTTTATTTTGAAAGCAGACCTTTCACTTCCAAAACACAACCTGTAAAATCAACACAGGGTTAGAGGGTTTTGTTATAATCTTTTTGTTATAGAGTGTTTACACTTGTACCGACTACTCTTTTGAGTTCAGTGGCTGGCCATCGTAACTTAAGCTGAGTTAAAAAATATCCAAACAGAGATAAGGGTAACTAGCCCTTAGAGATTATTGAAAAGAATTTAACTCAAAACTTCTAAGTTATCAAAATTCAAACTCAACTACTAAACCACTCCTAAAAGTTGAATTTATTTATACCCGTACTAAGTTCGAATGGTAATAAAAAAATACATACTAGACTCATCAAATAAATAAATCGACCAAGCCTGATTAAATATGAAAATAATATAGTGAGATCAATATTTGTAAGAAAATAATTGATAAAAATAAATTTTAAATGATGTAATCAAATAAATGAAGAAAATAAAATTTATTATTTAATATAATGAGATCAAATTTTTAAGAGTTCGAATTTTATGTTCTATCGTGTCTTATATCTAGGTACATAATATTACTCATTGACTGCCATAATTGAAAGTCTATGCTGATCAACAGGTTCACACCTCTTGAATATCACAATAAAATTTTAATGGTTCCATACATCCCTTGAAGCTTATTAAAGTAGTACTACCTTTGTAGAGCCAAATCTTCTCCTAACTTTTGGAAGGAAAAAATAATGTCTTGTCATACTGTTTTAAAAAGCCACTGTGCCGACAGATTCGTTTGACTTAAATTAGGGATAAAACGGAGACAAAAGGCATTCATCTCAAATTTCATTGAAATATTTATTTTTTATTTTTTTTTTCTGTTACCATAATATAACTTTCAGAATACACGAATTAAGAATTTGCTTGAAATATAATTTTTTTTATACTTAAAATAGATGTGTAGATTTTTTTTTTTTGATCAAAAAATAGATGTGTAGATAAATCACTTTACATATTTATCAGAATATATTATTTTTTAGCACCACACAAATATCTGCAAAAGACCTTGTTGCACTTACGTCAAACCCGAAACTTAGAACCACCGAACTGCTATAACTATGGATCCTCGTACATAAATATTAAGCCAAAAAACCTTAATTCCTACCCACCAAATCAACCACTCGATGGTGAAATACAAATGAGGCAGATAGAAAACAATATAATTAACTAATTGTGTTAAGATTTCAAGTATTGGTATGATCGGTTTATTTCTTGAATGACAAGACATATTTTGTATAATTTGTTTAATAAATAAGTTGCATCGACCGTCAAGTAAGGTAGTCTAGTGAGGTACCAGTCTTACTCCTTACTTTGAAGTTGGGAGTTCGAGTTTTAGAGTTTCCATTGAGATTTGGTGGTTAGTCGTAATACTAATCTAATTAGGTCTGGTTCTAAGAGGTGTTCCAGGCGCTGTCAAGGGTCTTATGATCCATCTGATGAGAACTTATCGGGGTGATCGTTGGACACTCTTCCTTACCCTCACCCTTTTTTTAACCAGAAAAAAAAAATCGTATCGGATTAGACATATTTTTTGTGTCAAAGGAAAATATGGGTATGTTCTTTTGTTAAAAAAATTAAAAATTAATACTAAATAAAAAACAAGTTAGATTAATCTCTAGATTATATTGGTGTTAGGATTAACGTAGAGTATCCAAAAACTAAAATTATCACCCCGACTTCATCAAAGAAGAGAGATGGCTAAAAACATCAAAATATAAAATGATCTATTAACACGACACAAAAATAAAAGATTTAGGTCTTTTTAAAATTATTGATTTTATAAATAAACTCAATACGTCACGATTAATATGAATTAAATATATATAAAATTAATCAAAAAAATGCTATATTATTTATTTATATATTAGTTGTACAAAATTAATATGTGATACGAGCCAAAATAAGATAATTTGTTAGACAGAAATAAATAAATCAATCAAATATAAAAAATATATTTTTTTTTTTAACCCGATCTGATCTTTTTAAGACCTGACACGAAACCCTCTAACTGTACACGGTTGACAGCACTAGAATAAATGAATAATGACAGGCCTCAGACTTTTGGTCCACCCGAAGGCTACTTTCGTCATTTCCCACATAAAAGGATACGGGAGTTGTGTGATCGTGTCGTGAGACAAGCCTGTGTCAATGTTTCAGGGTGTCTTTATTTCTTAGGATTTCATTCGACTACGGTATCGATCAAAGAGAAGTCGGTATCATACTATAAAATTTAATAGGTGTCGGCAATGTCAAGAGTCGGCAATGCTAGGAGTCGCGTTAGCTAGAGATTAAGACTTAACTTAAACTTGATGCGTCAAAATTTTCAGTAAGATTTGACTACTTGATCAAAAAAAGCCGGTATCATACTTTTAAAATTTATTATACTTATAAAATTTAATAGGTGTTAGCAATGCCAAAAATCCTGTTAACTAGAGATTAAGACTTAACTTAAGTTTGAGGCTGAACTTGTGTAAGAACTTTTAGTAGGATTTGACTACGATATCGATCAAAAAAGTTGATATTGATGATGCACAAATTAATTTTTGTACAAGATCAAAAATCAAGTATACGAACGAGTGTAATTAGTGAGCAATAATAGACAATCAATTGTGCGTGCAAGATCCTGCACAATATAAAAAATGAG